CAATAGGAAACATTTTTTTTTTTTTAATGAACAAACAACTTTCACAGAGACTGTCTATATCACATTGTTATTACAACATAGATGAGCTGAAACTTTTTTGTACAGATTTGGAGGAAGGGCAACCCTAAAAAGAAATCAAGCATATAGAGGTAGTTGAACAGCAGTATGGGGCGGGGAGCATTATCTTAATTTCCCTTCAGATCATTACAGTGCAAGAGTAAAATGGCCGCTTAACAAACGAATGAAAAACAGACACACATACACGTTTGCCACTGTTGAGTGGCTTGCTTGATATTTTAATCCTGGCATTATTGAGAACTGCAGAAAATGATGGAACTAGTTTATCTAAGGTAAGCCTATGGTGTCACACTGACCTATTTGTTCTCCTTTTATTTCGTTGTTGCTTATTGTTGTTGCTTTAACAATAGATAAATGTTAATCAACTTTTAAAATTATATATAAGCTACAGTGTTGCTTTGTAAACTTCTCTTAATCACGTTTGCTGCGAAAACATTTTAAACTGCTACAGAGTCATGAAGCAAAAGCTATAAAGTGATACCAGGAACAGAGATGACAGGCACTTCTCTCTGGAGGTTAACTTAGCATGTTTGTAAATACCCATTTGTAAGTGAAAATTTCTTCATTTCACCTCTGGATGTGCGTAATCCAGATTATTAGATAGTTGAACAGTGTAATAAGCGGGAGCTATCATTCTAAGAGGAATTGAATGCATACATTTTACATGGCTTCTTTCCCTTCCTTCTCTCTGTACTCGGGAAGGGGCACAGATTGCAGCCCATGAAGCTGGCTGCTTTTCAGAACTATCTTCAATCATAAATCAAAATCTCATTCCTTAGGCCCAAGACTGGGCTAAAGACCCACACTTTTCTGTTAGTTGGGCTGCCTTCCATTTGCATCTTTGTCACACACCTCTGCTATGATTAGGCCTTGGTGAGCGGAAATGGATGCAAAGTCAACATGTTGGGAACTCAAGGAATGAGTCCCTGAATAAAACTCCCATCTTGGAAATGGAGTTGGCATGGGGAACACAATCCCTGATGGATTGCAGTCCATCAACAGCGTGCAATCTGTTGACAGGAAGAGACCTCTGGGTGCTGTGAACCAGCCTTAGGAGCTCTACTGCTCCAAGGGCCAGTCACAGGGGATTATCTGAGCCCAGGCCAGCTCCATAGGCGGAGCTGGAAGCGCCACATGCGCAATGACTCGGCTTGCCCATTGCTGCCAAGGCAGCACTAGGCTAGAAGCAGTCAGCCTTAAGAAAAGGCAAACTGTTGAAATAGTCAATTCTCTGCCCCCCTAAGTCAGGGGCAAGCATTCTTTTCTCCAAGTTGTCTACAGAAAATTAGTTTGTTTTTCATTTCTACATTTTGCTGGTTATTTGCTAGCAGCAGTAGTACAGTACAAAGCAGAAAGGCATGATGTCTGCTTGCTACCTAGTATATGTACATATGTGTGTATATATATATGCACACACATACGCACATGAACAGACAAAAAAATAACCTACTAGGAAAAGACTGGGTTGTCACGAAAGACAGGAAAACTGACCAAATAAGTGGCACCATCTACCAAGGGGGAAGTCTTGTCCTTCTGGGCTAGATTTAACATTATGTCTTTCCTCTGTAAACTCCTCATTCCCAAGCTACAGCAAAGCCAATTTCCAAGTGATAGAAACGGTCAAGTCTAAGTATGTCCCAAGGAAAGCTGAGTTAGCCTTGCATCCTACCACTACTAAAACAAAAGCTTATCATAAAATGACCCGCATGTGTATCTAGGCTACTAAAGTGCAATTCTGCCTAGTTAAGATCTACATTTGCTGGAGTTAGGTACTCATTTATCAAAGTGAAGCACTGTATAATATGGAATTTTATTAAAAAATCAAACTTCTTATAGAAGGAACAGGATTGAGGTTAAAAAAACCCAATACTTTAAAAAAAGAAATCAAACTTCCTTTTCTACTTAGATTAAGTAAAGATGTGTTAGGCAACTTAATCTGTGACTTCACATTGTAAGCTTCTAAGGAGATTTAGTGATCTGGTTGCCACGCTTGTTTAACAAAATTATGTGTAATACAAACTATTTCAAATGCTATAAATCTGCAAAGTGTTGGGTTCAAAATCAAGTTTAGCCACTTACTGGCTAACTATGTTATATAGGTAAAGTATTTAACATTGTGAAGCCTCAGTTTTCTCAACTATAATATGGTTGATATGTGAAAGATAAACGATTTAGTGAGCTCAGGTATATGAGATCACCTGGCTCAATTACCTGCTACATGGTAGGCTCTCAATACATTTTTGTTGAATCTGTTACTTTGGGCAGCATGAAGAAATACCACAGGCCGGGCACGGTGGCTCACGCCTGTAATCCTAGCACTCTGGGAGGCCGAGGAGCGCTGATCACTCAAGGTCAGGAGTTCGAAACCAGCATGAGCAAGAGGGAGACCCTGTCTCTATTATAAATGGAAATAAATTAATTGGCCAACTAACATATATAGAAAAAATTAGCCGGGCATGGTGGCACATGCCTGTAGTCCCAGCTACTCGGGAGGCTGAGGCAGGAGGATCGCTTGAGCCCAGGAGTTTGAGGTTGCTGTGAGCTAGGCTGACGCCACAGCACTCACTCTAGCCTGGGAATCAAAGCGAGCCTCTGTCTCAAAAAAAGAAAAAAAAAAAAAAAGAAAGAAAAGAAATGCCACAAACCAAGCACAAATGTCACAGATTGTAAAATCTAATCATCCTGGCATGGGAAAGATTCTCAATACATTTTGGAGAACAGGGAGTGAACTGGTTATTCTAATAGAGCTAGAACTTAAGGCTTCCATTCTATCAGAAATTCTAGACCCTTGAGCAACAATACTTTTTGCCCCTAATTGAAATGGGAAAATTTTTTCTGGCATAGGATTGGTCCCTACATCTGACCTTCATTTGTTCTGCAGTTTTTTCACTTTCCCAGATTTAATCCCAAAAGGAATCATCAAATTATGGTCCAAAATTCAGTGATATATGGATTCCCCCAACTAAATTTAAAGGGGTTTCAAGTGAGTATTGTGTGTAAAGGCAGTATTTTATGCAAATGTAGGTCCGTGATGATATTCTGTAACTATGACTAATCTAATAATAGCTATTATTTGTTGACTGTCTCCTAGGTGCAAGACATTGTGCTAAGTGATTTACACATGTTACCTCATTTAATGTTCACAACAACCCTACATGCAGAATTATCGTTACCCATTTAATAGAAGAAGAAACTGGGGCTCAGCAAAAGTTAAATCACTTGCCGAAAGTAACAGATCTAGTAAGCAGAGAAGCATATGACCCTTTGCTGGACTTTCACTAGATAATAGGAAACTATTCTACTAAGACTGGGCTATGACCACATGGTTGGGCACTAGGTGGGAGGCAGGAGCCTTTAATTTCCTGATCCCTGAGCCTTTTAGAGTTTGTTTGGGCAGAAACTATGCCCGTCCTTCCATCTACTTCCATTCTTCACCTCCCCAGTCTGGCTCCAAACATCAAACTTGGTAACACAATGCTCTGACAACACAGCGTTCATTAGACAAGTGCAGAAAAGACCATTTGGTTTCTGCTTACATGAATCTCTTTTTCATTATCTGGATCATCTCATTCTCCCTTTTCTATTTCTGGCCACAGGTGGTGGTGGAAGTAAAACTGATTACTTGAAGCATTATCCTATTACCTTATCAGAGTGGATGGGCTATGAGTGGATAATGCAACGCAGCTATCCAAAAATCACATGGGGATTAATTTGCGTAAAGATATGAATGGCACAATTCACTTATTCCCTGCTCTAATCTTTTCGCTCTGCCATTGTAACACTCCCATACTCATGGCACTTTTTAGGTTCTCCTGCCACTGAAGGAATCAAACCAGCACTAAACAAGTCCCAAAAGGGCTTACTCTTACATCCTCACCCTCTCACCTCCCCGCTACATTGAAATCTTGGCCCATTGCAACTAGGAGGAAAGGCAGTGCTTTGATTAAATGATGGATTAACTGTCTGGTTCCTTATAAAAAGATTTGTAAAGAGTTCTACCCTATCTGGCTTCTTTATACTTTTAATAACAAACAGTCCCTCATTAAGTGTTTGCTCACAGGCTAGCCCAGGTCTTGATCCTCAGAAGCCTGAGAAGAGGTGCAGTACAGAGGCTAGCTGGGTATGGCTGGGATGTTCCCAAAGGAAAGCCATTCCCTCTGAAGGGGTTAATTATGATTCTCACTAAAATTCCATTCCCAACTGCACTCAGGAGAAATTAGACACACTTATAATTAGATGGCTGAAATAAATGCCTATAGTAGAAATTAGATACACTTATAATTAGATGGCTGAAATAAATGCTTATAGTAGATTGTAGTAAGAGATACTCCTCTGATTCATCTCTTCATTCCAGAAAAGTAATTCTTTCAGCCTAGTTCTGTATTACACACAGAAAATGGATTATTTTACTTTACCCTGGCACATACCATATTCTATGCCAAATCCCTTAAATATTTTACAGTTTAATTCAAACTGAAAAAAGTGGAATCTGTGAAGACAGCTGACCTTAGCATCATACTGAACTTCTTTCAAATATCTACTTGGATAGGTAGAGAAATGGTCCAAGAACTGGGATCAATGTAGTTAAAAATGATTAAAGCAAAAGTTGCACGTTTCTAGTATTATTATTTCCCCCTAGGTACACGGTAAACCACATCAATAAATAAAGCAACGGAATTTTCAGCAATGTGCACTTAAATAGTTACAAACATACATGTAGAAAAAAAGGATACAGTAGTGCAAAAAATAAATTATTAAAACAGAAAGGAGTATGAACATTATTTTACACAATGCTCCATAAAACCTGAACCATTTGGAATGAGACCTCAAGTCAGTGAAATAATGCAGCAACATGATTAGTATCTTTGCTTCACATTTGAACCACATGGTCATTGATGTATGAAAGAAAATTAAAGCAAAACCAAACCTTCAGAACATTTTATGATAAAATCAAAATTTTTTTTCTGGGCTCTTAAACACCTCTGCTGTTTATGTAGTTGTGCAGCATGTCAAGAAGCATCTTAAGACAAAAAGTTTCAAACAGGTCACATTCTTTTGGTCTTTCTACTCGATTTCTCTCTGTGATCAACAGCAGGCTAACACCTCTGTTTGATACCCTCTTCTGTTAAGATGTTATTGCAATTAGATGTATTTACAAGAAGACTCCCCCACAGGGCAGTGGGGAGGGTGGGAGCTCCTTTCACCAATCCACTCTCACTAGTTTTGGTTTCGGGATATAAAGGCCAGAACTCGCCGAATACCATTCAGTCTATCCTTTAAGGACCTCATTGCTAGGAACGGGAGCTGAGCTCGGCTTTCCAAGGGAAGAACTGCTAATGTCCACCAGCACCAGGCTGGGCCATTCGGATTAATCTGCAACAGAGAAACACAGTGGGGTCATCCTATTCCCATGCAAGCAATAGCATTCTGCAGACTTCCAAATATACAAGGTAAATATCCCAGTTAGAACTGCTTCTGTGTGTGGTAGACTGCTAATTGCCCCTATATCTATTTCCTCCTAATTTTAACTAGGCATATAGTCACCCAGAAAAAAAAAAAAAGACAACATTTCTCAGCCTCCCTTGCAGCTAGGTAAGGCCATGAGACAAAGTTTTGGCTAATGATACTAAAGGGAAGTGATATGTATAACTTACAGGTCATGCTCTGGGAAAGTGGCATATGCCCTCCACCTTCCTCTTTCTCTCCCTTTCTACTAGCTAGAATGTGGGCTAGGTGAGGATCAGCCTTCTTCAATCAAGAACATGAGGGGGACATTCTAAGGACAGTAGAACTTTGTGATGAAGGAGCCCGAGTCCCTGAATGTTCCCATGGAATATAAATGCCCTAGCTCTCAGGATTTAGGCCTTCTATTTTGTTTAAGCTGCAGGCATTTTTTGGTACTTGGTAAAGCTAACAAACCGATATTTTAATAGAGATACCATGACTCCTAGCCAGTGTGATTTTACAAGCTGGACTATCCATCACCCAGTCCCTTCTACTTCGAAGATTCTGTTGAGGTCCCTTGGACTGATACCGTTAACATGCAGGCCTTCAACTCCCATGATGTTTTAGGCTTTGCACGCCACTTAACTCCCTTCAATTTCCTTGCCATGGCTGAAGACAATAGTCCAGATATACCACATCACTATACAGGGCCACAGCTATCGTCTTCCCCCAAACCAAAGGCTGTGATTTATAGTCCCAAAGAACAGCAACCCCACTTTGCAAAAATTCCAAGTAGAAAACACATTCACGTTAGAAAGGTACCTGCACCATCCCACATAAATCCCTCCCTCAAATTCTGTTTGTAAGCAGCTTCCCCAGCACACATTCTAGACATTTGTGACTTATTTCCTACTAAGCCTGAAATGAGTTTTCTGCCCACAACTTTCAGAAAGTTGGTTGTAGGAATGGAGAAAACCACATTCTGGCCAAACCACCTACACCTGACATTATTTGGCTCCAAACCAGTTCATCTGATTCTCCCCAAATCTCACTGTTGTCTTTGCCTCTCTGAGCCTCTAGCTTTGTTTGGATTCTTTTTTGTCCCTCTCTGCAGTTGGCAACATGTTCTCCCTCCTATGATCGGTTCTCAATATTAGAATTGATATTCTGAAACTTTTTTCCAGGATCATCAACAAACATATTTAAGCCAATGTTAATACTTGTGGCAGTTTCTAAGAAACTTCCTTGTGAGGCTTAGAACATTCTGCTTCATGGCACCACTGGGGCTGCAGAATTGACTGGAGTCAACTGCATGGATTTAGGTTTTTGCTTGGTTTTTTTGCTGGTGCTGTTACTGCTAAAGCAACATGATAACAGAACTAATAGGAAATGAAGCCCAAGACTTCAACTTTCTATGTCATTAAGCTCTTATGAATCACACTGTGGCATGTGTGTTTTCTCCTGTGGAAGAAGCTGTTACCACTGCTGATCTCTGTCTTTTGCCTGACTGGGGGAGAATAATGCCCTGAAGGTGAAGGGGGTCATTAAACCTGATTATGAGCTTGCTCGGAGCTATGCTGTAGTCCTGAATCACAGTGGCCCAGAGCCAGAAGCTGGGTCACTGCGATGTACTAACTGGCCTTTCTCTCTTCAAAATTCATGATGCTTTTGCATGGGGGAAAAGGAGCCACCTTTGTGGTCTGGAGAAAGCAAGACATTTCAGCCCATTAAGGAACAGACTGATGTTTTAGAGCCTCAGAATGAAAGAGGAAGAGGGGGCTTTAGAGACTTCCTCATCCACCTCTCATGTCAGAGATGGGGGACAAGTTGAGAAAGATGAAGGGATTTACCCAAGGTCATATTGCCAGAGAGGTAAGCAGGACTAGTCTTTTGGCAAAGAAGTTAGAATATATATATATACAGACTTTTCTTTTGTGACAGAGTTAAGGAATGAACACAAGAATCAAGGGAGAGATGATATAGGATTGCCAGCTCAGAGTGTGGGAAAAGATGGTGGTGAGGAAATCTGTGGTTAGGATATCTTCAGCCTCCCTAGAAAGAAAGCATTCCCAGAAATGCAATCCCCTGAAAGGATTCAGTGATTTACACCAGGTAAGCAAAGCTTTCTGAAACTTAACCATCTCCATTTTCCCAGAGAGCTTCTGATCTACAGCTTGGTCTCACAAATGGGCCTTTCCCCCCAGAAAGAAGACTGATCCAGTAGAGCCTACTGAACTGATTTCTAGTATAACTCAGCCAAGGATAAATTTAAAAATGGGGTCAGTTTACTCAGGATCTGTTCACCCCTGATGAGGACAGTAGCAAAGGTGTAGACTTGTAGAGCTAAGCAAGGATGGACCAGGGTGTGAAAATTTTCTGGGGTCTTGCAGTTAGAATCTTGTAGGGCAGCTGGCCCCATCTCCTAGCTCCTAAAGCAATGGGGAAGAGGATTATGAAGTTCCCTGGAAGTAGCAGCCTTTGGTTTTAGGTCCCAGTATACCCTTCTCTTAAGTCCTGGCCTTTGCATTTATCGTGTTACCCTAAGATTCCCATGGTGTGAATTTGGACTCCCATGGAACATTCTTCTGTTGGTAGTATCTACATTCCCATTCTCTCATCTCTCGTATCTCTCAAAACCTGTCTTACACCCAAGTTCCTACTGCTTTAGTTACCCCACTTCTGACTTGGGATCCTTTTGGTCTTATCCATGATGCTCGCTGCCCACCCAAACAATACCAAATTGGATCCATCTTCCTCTCTGTGCTTGATTTGCTGGATGGCAACTACACATCCATCTAGTCACAAACCCTAGGCACTCTCATCTGGTGAAGCAACCCATTATAAACAGATATTTTTATATACCTGGGGATCAGCATCTTTCTCTGGCATTGGACCAAAGTGATTGAGTATCCGATTCTTCAGGGATGATTTCAGCGAATGAAACCATGATGACGCTTGCTCATAGACACAGTTATGTAATCCCATGAGCTCAGCACAATCCTCTCCCTGAACCTGAAAGTATCAAAGTGAAAGTGAGACATTCTGTACCCTCCGCATCACTCCCAGAGTCGCTTTCTCTCCTGTGTGAGATGCGAAGCACTGCTGGGCTTCACAGTGCTGGCCAGTGTGTACATACTGCTGAGCATGGGGGAAGGAGAAATGCTCAGTTTGGTAGATTAGCTGAAACAGCAAGACACATAGAAAACCAGAGATTTGAACTGGCCTGAGTGGAGGCATGTGGTTAAACTAGGTCATCCCGGTCTATGCCTCTGCCCTTCTCATTTCTACGTCTATTTTCCTGTTGCTCACTGGGAAGGGAGACAGGAATGTGTCTGTGTCTCAGTGTGTAAATAACTTGGTCAAATACATTTTATTTGTTGATCAAATATTTATTAATCTACTATGTGGTGAATGTAAATACAAATGAACATGGAATTATTTACCTCTGCTTTCACCCATTAGCTTAGAAAACCAAGGATTAACTGGACATGCCATCTTTCTGCCTTATGGGATGATGGATTATTGAGCAGAGCTCTGAGCTAGCTTGTACATTTAAAGATGCAAATACATGTGTGAATCTATAATTATCTCAAAAGACAAAAGTTAAAATGTATAAATAAACCAATAGGTAAAATACACACGTGTAGGCCCCACTCCGGATCTATTCCTTGGTATCCCTGGCACAGACCTAACACCTAGACTGAATGGGCCTCTGGGTTGGTCTGGGGTAGCATTTCTTATGCCTGAATGCAACTCAACAGCTAAACAGAGCCAGGACAATGGGCGCTTTCACTGCCATTCTGCAACTGGACAGCAATCAGCAGCATTCATTGCTGCTGCAGCGATTTGGTGAGAAATCCCAAGGCATCCAACAGTTTTAAGAAATCATTTTACAACCATGTTTGTATTCCAAGTTACATGGATAGCTGGCTTTGGGCTTCTTGGCACTAGCCACCCTCACCTTTTGGTCTTCAATGTATTCAATGTCAGCTGTATTGTAGCCATCTCGTTGGCCCTGATGGAGCACCTTGAAACGCCTCTTGCCTATGCTGTCAACCACTGAGCGGCCGTCGGCAAAGAATTGAACATTTCTGATCTCTAGGATGCATCCATATTCCGCAAACCTGTTTTTTGAGAATCGAATCAAGAAAGAAGATCCTTGAATTTTTCTGTTTCCTTGGCCTGACCCCCAGTCATTTCTGTAACCCCATTATATGCCCCAAGGGACTTCTGCCTATTTGCCTATCCCCACGTTTATAGCTACAACTGTTAACTGGCAGTGCCAGTGTGGGGAAAAAAATATGATGTATTACTATAACGGCTACCATTTATTCATCATATACTATGTGCCAGTGCTATGCCTTGAATGTTTGTCCCCTCAAAAACTTGTGTTGAAATTTAATTGTCATTATAACAGTAGTAAGAGGAGAGGCCTTTAAGAGGTGATTTGGCCTCCACCCTCATGAGTGCATTAATGCTGTTATTGTGGTAGTAGAGTAAATTTGTTATAAAAGGGCCAGTTTGGCCCATTTTTCTCTTTCCCTCTTGCTCTCTCTTTGCCCTTCGGCCATGTGATGCCTTCTGCCATGTTATGACACAAGACAGCCCTCACCTTGATCTTGGACTTCCCAACCTCTAGAACCATGATAAATAAATTTCCATTGTTTATAAACAGTCTGTGGTATTCTGTTATAGCTGTACAAAATGGACTAAGACAACCAGGAACTGTGTTTTATGTGCATTTATTAACTTACCAATCCTCCTAACAAACCCAACGAGGTAGGTACTATTATTGTACCCACTTTACACATAAGGAAATTGGGATATAGAAAGTTAAGTAATTTGCTCAAAGTCAAACTTGTTCCAAGGCTGGAGCTAGAATATGAACTCAGGTAGTTGGACTCCAGGACCCACACTCATATAAAACAAGTTTTATAATATATACTACTTATCTAACAAAAGATTAATTCTGGAGTTCTTGTAAATAGGCAACCTCTTACAGGGTTTACTTATGCACCAGAAGGACCCTGATCCTTACAAATGCTCATGTTCTTGAGCTGGCTAAACATCATGAGGTAGGCCTCCCTATCTCCTGGGAGCACCCCAAAATTAAACAAAAATCCCTCTCCACCCAATCTCCCTTTATTTACATGGCTCCTCACTTACCCTTTAACAGGATCTCCAAGGCACATGCCAAACTGTCTCGTTCCTGTCTCAATGCATCTACGAATCATCAGGCGGTAACAAGGCTCAAAGATGTGCAGGGGACAAGGAACAGTGGGATAGGCCATAGTACACACGAAAATAGGCACATTCTTATTTAAGCTGTCAGGAAGAATAAAGGACATGGATCTCAAAACAATGGGGCAGAACACAGAAAGGTTGGTCAAACAACCCCATGTGCTACCCTCCAGGGAAGACGAACAGGCATCAAATTTTGATGGCTAATAAAAAATACTAAAATCCAACTGATAATTGTGGGCTGAGTCCCATTGTTCGGTGCAGAGTTTGGCCTAAGGTCTAAGAGATTAAAATTGGCATTCTGCACATTCCAATTTAATTGAAGAAGTTCTCCAGTGCCTTAACATTGTGGGTGATAGTTATACCTCATATTCTTTCATGCTCTCCACTCAAAATGATCTCTTCAAGTGTTTTGCTGGCAGTGTGGGGAAGGGTACTGATGGTATAAATGGACTCAGCTCTCCAGAGAGGTGGTAGAAAATTATCTGCAAGGTCCCCATGGGCATCTCAAATTTACAAAGCTCCGCCCCAGGGAATCTGCATAGCAGGCCCAGCTGGGAAGAGCGGGGAGCAAGAGATAGACAAGAATAACTTAGCCCAGTGATGTCCAAACACTCCTGTGCATCAGAATCACAGAGGCGGGGGTGGGGGTGGGGTGGGGTGTTCTGAAATCTAGATAACTGGGACACAATACCCCCAGAACCCAGGAGGCTGCCTTTCAACAAGCACCCTGAAGATTCAGACACATGGCCTCTTGGGGAACTACCAGCTAGGCCAGCTCCTTCTGGAGGCCAATCCTCTTATTTGTCCAGTAAATCCAATGCAGGAACATCTGAGCCTAAACCTACCAAGAGATATAAGACCATCTGCCCAAATCTAAAAAGAGTTAAGTTTAGAATGCCTTTAAATAGAAAGCCCTTTAGTATATTCCAGTGTTTGTTAATAAAATCTTAAATGAGATTTAAGAAGCCTGCTTGGAGAGGCTCCATGCTAACTTACAAATCAGAAATAAAGATGCCCTGAGTATTTCCAATAGAAATCAATAAGAAAAAAAAAGATTTCTAGTTTCTGGGGAAAACATATCATTTAAAGTGAGAAGCACATTCAAACAAGCTGGTGGTAGAGTTTAGAAATGTTCTGTATAGGGTGGGCATAAAACCATAACAGTTTTTGCTCTTAGGAACCTTGCTTTTGGGATGCTGTGAGGATTGTACTGGGGATGGGAAGAGGCGAGGGCAACAGCAAGACAGAAAGAAGTTAGTGATTGCCTGTTGCTTTTTCTGCTCAGTGAGCTGTTCCCCCAGCCAGGCAGAGAGCTGGGAGCCTCACTTATGTTTCCACCCCTTCCCTTCACCTTTCATGCTACCTGTGCATGGCAGAAGAAGCATTTAACAACAGTATTGGTGCTATTACCATTTCTAAAGTGCTTTTGCATGAGTTCATATGATCTTCATAACAAGTATGAGGTAAGAAATATTATCCTCAAGCTACAGATAAGGAAACTGAGGCCCAGAAAGGTTAAGTGACCTGCCTAAGGTCACAAAGTATACTCACTGAGGCAGCACTGGGTCTTAAGCCCAGATCTGGCTGACACCAAAGTTCTTAACTTCATAGCACCTCCTTCTGTATTTGAAGACAGTCTTCCAGACACTTCGCAAGTTCCTCTGATTAAGCTACTCTAATTTAATTCTGCCAATGACACCCTGTTACTAGAGCCAAGACGTGTCCTGGTCAGTGGTTTGGCTTATGCTTCTTCAGTGGTGTGTGCTGTTAAATGTTTAACAACTGGCTGTCTGGGTTGAGGAGGAATTCCTGGTTTGTAGTATTTGCCAATTTCCATAGCATAAATACTCTCATCTCTCACTGTGGCCAATTTCAAGCTACCAGCATGAAATTACTGAGTGGGGAGCCAGGAAGAAATGTGTGCATTCAGCTTTCGTGAGCTGGAATGAGTGAAACTGAAAACAGAAGCATACATGTACATACTTAGAAAGTTCTTCCATTTCCTCTTCATAAAGCCTCCTTCGTTCCTTGAGTTCTTCTGGAAGGAACTTGGCTATTAGCTCTTCCATTATTACATTTTTGCTGTATTTTCTTGATGCCAAGCACTATGTGGGGAACACGGCAATTACAGAATATGCAGTCATCAGAAAAACACAAAATACTTGTGATATAATCAGCAGAATAGACAAATGACCCACATAGTGGAGTAATTTGGACCCACAAATTAGCAGCTGATACTATCATGATATACATATTCTCTGAATGCTAGAGTTTAGTATTTTTTTAAAAAAAAACATATGCAATTGATGACCTTTATAATTGGAAAACAATATTTTAACAATGGGGGAAAATCTGCATTGGAGTTTTTAAAATCTCATGGCTTTCCTAAAAACTGAAATTGAGCTAATGTTCTTGTCAAAAAAGGGAGGAAATCCTTTTATTTCCATTTTCTGATTATTCTGTTTATCAGCTCATAGAAATGGTTTCCATCTGGGATATACTGAAAGTCAGTGGTCAAAAGGTTCAGGGAACTAAAAAGCAATTTTCAATCATTGATCCTTTCCTGCCCCTCCCCACCTCCACCACCCTAGTGCTTGGCTTCTGGATGTTGCAAAGTCTACAAATTTTTTTTCTCTTCTAACCTTAGTTTTTAAAAAACACAAACAGGTAAATACTGGTGATTTTGTTTGCTTGTTTATTTGCCTTTTCAATACAACATCTAGATATCACTGAGATTTTGTTATAAACCATGATTTCAGAATAAGACTCAAGCTCAATTGTCACTATTACTCTCCTCCCAAACACCCCTACCCCATGCATATCCAGGAATCTGTAAGTAGTTGGTATTTAATCTGGGGATTGATGTGAACCAAACAATGGATGTTAGAAATTCTGCAGAGAATTGCTTGCTATGGAAACTACCCCTACAGAGCCAGCAGGGGGAGCTCCTGAGTATAAAACTGCTGGCTTCACGCAATTTTGGTTCTTTTCCAGTATGGGCTGTGTCTCTACTCTGTAGTGAACATGATTGGAATATTTATCTCTCTTTAAAATGGTGTAAGTGTGACCCTGTATGAATACACAGAGACAGATAAGAATATCTTCTAGTCCCTGAGTCCAGGACCCCACAGCATCTGCCTCTAGGATTCCTTTCAGCCACTGCCATTGCCTGGCTACAGAAGAATCAACTGTGTTCCCCAGTCCCAGTCTTTGGGGACAAGCAGTGACTCAGGAGGTAGTCAATCCAAGAAGGAGGTGACCCTTCTGCTGACGCTAATACAAAAACCCAGGAAGGGCACACACTAAAATGTTAACAGTGGTTTTCTCTAGGTGCTGAGCATATGGGTAGATTTTTCTTCTTTCTGCTTGAGTTTGGTAGTGTTGTCACAACACAGATGTTTGAGTATAAGGACCATGAGCTTCTCACCTACAATCAGGCTAGCAAATGCCACCCCTTCATCTAGGGAAAGGTATGACATTGACTCTCGCCCCAATCCTGATACACACCCTCAGGGCTACCCTTGATGATATTTCACTCCACTCCCTTAATTTAGATTTTGGGGTCATGGGAAAGCTCCACAGGTGACTTCTCTGGACTACATTCACGTAGAGATAGTCTTGCATTTCCAACCTCTCCTCAGGAATGACAGGGGTTAGGAACATTAATATTGATTGTAAAATGTGGCACACAAATCACTGAGGGAGGAAAAACAAGACAGAGTCCTGGGTTTTCTTTTGCCACAGGAAATTCCATCAGGTCCACTTGAAAAACGAAGGTGGGAGTTTGTATGATTAATTTTAGAGAACCTGGAAGCCCCAGAGCTTTTCCAGTAGCCAAGTATCTGCTAGTAAGTACAGTGGCTCTTGAGGGGTTGGACGAGAACCACATTGTAGGTTTGTGAGGTTCTTCTAGGTCTGTGAGCTGATCTGTTCAAACCACGGAACAAACACTGATGATAAGGGGAAGGGGACATCAGAGCTCATCTAGTCCAAGCCCAGAGAGTACAAGAAGTCACCCAAAATTAAAGTGTATCAGGTGGGATTAGAACCAGGACTCAGGTTTATCACCTATTTAATACTTTTTTTCCAGCACAAATTAATCTCATTACTGACAGTTCACAAAAAGCTAGATGTTGCCTTGTTTTCCTGACGGACTTTGTGGAGAGGGAAAGTGTGGCTATAAGACAGGAGAAATAGATGGTCCCAGGGGCTAATTTTTCCTAGCAGTCTCTTGGGATACAATTGTCTTAGTACCTAATTTCAAATAAATAAGTTACCCCAACCGAGAAAGAAATATTGGTTTACCTGTGAAAGACCATCTTTGCACAGTGGACACTTTGCGTTGTGATCTAGGCATCTTTCAAGGCATTTTAAGCAAAAGGTGTGTCCACAAGGTGTTGTAACTGGCTCATAGAATAATCTGAAATTTAAGAATTAAAATGGAAGAAAGCTACAATAAGACCAAAGATAAAAGAGCTACTCAAGGTTAAGGTTTTACAGCAATATTTGAAAAATTCTAGTAGGGAGGAGAGTTATTTTAATCACTGTTCTTGTACTTCAGAAAAGCATTTTCTTTTAATATCTGAGCTGGATTTAAAATAATGCATTTATCAAAGTTTAGGACATAGCTAGATCATTTTGCAACATTAGTTCTAGTTTAATCTCTTCTGGGCATCCAGATTTTTTTCCTTGTCTGGTCCAAGAGAAGTAGAGATTAATGTCCACAGTGTCTGAATAAATTCCATTCTAAAAATATTTAGCCAACCTGTTCACCTGAGTATATGTGAACACAAAGACAGATACACACAAACACACTTAGACATTTACCTATGTAAGCACTGTACATCATATTTCCATGGAAATAACTTGGTTTGTTTGCTAATATTGATTCCTCTTCTTATCTAAGCAACATTTACTGTGTGAAGGATCTTGAAATTGCACCTCTAACAGACACTATTTTGTTAATATATAGATGGATAATTTCCCTAGGGGTAGTAGAGTAATATCATTAATGTGTTTACTGATATAGATGAGATAGATATGGATATATATGGATATGTGTACATACATACGTATACATACATATACTTCAATTATATCCTATTTTAATTGCTGTGGGAGAGCGAGATATTGCCAAAGCAATCTGGGGATCATTTTATAAAGCTGTTCTGTTCCTTCAGAGACTCATGGATTTATTTGGCTTAAGGAAGGGCTCACCTGCAGCAGAGTCAGTGGGTAGTGGCAGCTGAAGATGATGGTTGAGAAGTGGGGCTTGCATTCACCATGGGTGGAGCATAGAAAGAAGGGAAAGATGCCTGACCAGCCTATTTTGACTTCACAAGAGTGTTCAGTTGACAGGAAGAGGCTGCCAGCTGCACAGCTCCCTCGTGTGGCCTGGAGGTACACCCACAGCACGGCCGGCACTGCCCGGCTGAGCAGAACAATCAAAACGTCAGAGCTGAAAAGTACTGGTGAGGAAATTGAACACGCTAACTAGAATTAAACTGAGGTCCAGAGGAGGGTGAAGTCATTTGTCTAAGTGTACACAGCCAACTGTTGACAAATGAAAGTCTAGCCAACTTCCGCTTACAGTCCTGTGCCTTTTCCGTTACGACAAGGATTCCGGGCCATTGCTGTGCATGAGAATCACCTGGGGAGCTTTATCTTTAAACAGCTCTCTTGATGTATAATTGACGTGCAATAAACTGAACAGACTTAAAGTGAACAACGTGATAAGCTTTGACATATGTACACACCTATGGAACCATCACCACATCCCCATCACTCCCAAATGTTTCCTCATGCCCCTTTGTAAACCCTCCCTCCTGTCCTTCCCCATCACTTGGGGAGCTTTTAAAAAAACTTCAGAAATGCAGCATGGCACCTACAGAGAATTAGGTCTGTAAGCCCAGGGTACCAGGTCAGGCATCAGGATTTTTTAAAGCCCCACCCCCTGGGTGGTTTTAATGGGCAGCCAAGTTGAGAATCACTGTATTATACAATCCTACTAATCTCTACATCAGCGAACCTTCTGTAGTGGTCTTCGAACATAATTACCAGAGTCATCTCAGAACTTTAAAAACATACAAATGGAGAAGCTCCACTGGCTAAAGTTCACGATACAACAGGTCAAGCAAGGGGAAGGACAGAGATCTGATATATATTTTTTTTTTTTTTGAGACAGAGTCTTGCTTTGTTGCCTAGGCTAGAGTGAGTGCCGTGGCGTCAGCCTAGCTCACAGCAACCTCAAACTCCTGGGCTCAAGCGATCCTTCTGTCTCAGCCTCCCAAGTAGCTGGGACTACAGGCATGCGCCACAATGCCCGGCTAATTTTTTCTATATATATTAGTTGGCCAATTAGTTTCTTTCTATTTTTATAGTAGAGACGGGGTCTCGCTCTTGCTCAGAGCTAGTTTCGAACTCCCGACCTCGAGCAATCCACCCGCCTCGGCCTCCCAGAGAGCTAGGATTACAGGCGTGAGCCACCGCGCCCGGCCGAGATCTGATATTTTTAATAAGCCAATGATGGTCTGCAGTAGAAGAGAGATTTTTCATATATTCACTTTTTTGTACTTTCTGAATTTTATGATTCAGTTTAAAAAGTAGTTAATTTATTTAACAGAATTAATAAATTTTAGTTATCAAATTGAAAAAAACATACATTTAAAACAAACTACTCTTTATGATGGAGGTCCTAAGCAGTGCACTAAGACAAGAAAAAAAATGAGGATTGGAGAGGACAAAACCAAATCTGTCATTATTCACAAATGGTATGACCATAAAGTTAGAAAACTGAAAATAATCTACAGAGTGATTATTAGAATAAGAATTCATAGAATTAGCAAGGTTGCTAGATAAATATATATACACAAACAGTTATATATGCCAGCAATAAATGTCAGAAAATACATTTTTAAAAAGATGACATTTATAACTGCTTTTAAAAGTCAAGTACCCAGGAATAAATTTAACAAAAGTGGTGAGAAACCTTTATTGGAATAAACTATAAACACCTCACTGAGAGAAATTAAAGAAGATTTAAATAAGTTCCAATAGATTATTTCATTTGTTTATTTTTGTGGAACTTGACAAATTGATTTCTAAACTTTATAAGGAAAGGCAAAAGGCCAAGAGCCAAGACACATTTGAAGAGCAACGATGTGGAAGGACTGACTTACCCTACCAGACATCAGAATTTATTATAAAGCTGTGGTGATTAAATAGTTTATGACTAGCACAAGGACAAATAGACCCATGGAATAGAATAGAAAGCCCAGAAATAGACCCAGACGTGGATTCTTGACTTATGACAAATGTGGCACTTCAAAGCAGAGGGGGGAAAGATTTTTCAATACATAAATAGCATTCAATACATAAATGCTGTTAGGACAGTTGGCTATCTATAAGGGGTAATCAAATTGGACCATCTCTTACCCCATACACATAAATCAATTCCATGTGGGCTATAAAAATGTGAAAAGCAAAACAATAAAGCTTTCAGAAGATAAAATAGGGGACTATGACCTCAAAGTAAAAAAAAAAAAAATTCTTAAACAAGACACAAAGAAACACTAACTATAATTGGAAAGACTGATAATTTTGACTATATTAAAATGAAGAACTTTTAAGTTTGTCAGAAGATGTCATTAAAAGAGCAAAAAGGCAAGCCACAGAGTAGGAGAAAGTATTTGTAAGATATGTGACTAACAAATAACTTGTATCTAGAACATCCATAGAGCTCCTACAAGTCAGAAAGACAGAAAGAAGAACCTACTAGAAAATGGGCAAACACTTATATGCACCAGCACATGTAGACAATGTTCATAGCCCTATTGTCCATAATATCCCCTGTAGAAACAATCCAAACATCCGTCTATAATAAAATTGATAAATTTTGGTGGATTCATACAATGTGATACTATACAATAATGAAAATGAACAAACTTCATACATGAATAACATGGATAAATCTTAATACTGAGTAAAAGAAACCAGACTGAAAGAATAAATTCTGGGTAATTCAATCTATACAAAGTCTTAAACACTAGGCAAAACTAGATTATACTGCTTAGAGATGCATACATGGGTGGTAAAACTATAAAGAGGAACAAAATACAAGAAGTCAAGATAGTGATTTCCGGGGTGCGAGGGGCAGTCCTGATTGAGAAGTGGCATATGGGCAGCTTCTGAGGCCCAATGTTTTATTTCCTGAACTGAGAAACGTTACATAGGTATCCGCTTTACAATATTTTGTTAAGAACACATTTATATTTTATGCACTTTTCCACTGTGTATATTTCACAATTTAAAATGTTTTTCAAAAGTGTGATTTGGGAACCACTGCTGTGATCTAATTATCAGAGTAGCCAAACCAGAATATCTCATTTCCTGAGTAACCTGAGTCTTATGAATGCTTTTTATACATTATTTGATGGTGCTAATGATGAAGATGATAAATGAATCTGTATCTGCAACTAATTTGCAAAACCATTTTTCCTAAGAATTTCACAATTGGGCCTATTGTTCATTTAAGAATGTAACCCATCTAAAATAACAAAGATATAACTGGCTAATTAATTGCCATAAATACTGACATTTAGTGAGCAGATGAATGAAACACACACAAAAGGACATAGCTATCTCTTAGCGAGAGCTATGATTAAAATGCCCCTGACTGAGTGGTAACAAACAAAAAAGCAGCCACAGATGCTGCATAATTATCGCTTTGAAATAGTTCAAGGTTCAGATGCTCAGAATATATCACTTTTCAATACTCAATTCACTTCTATATTTAGGGCTACTCTGCTACTCCACACAGGCTGACTGAGTAAAGTGACTGGGAAGAGACGGACTGTATTTCTCTTGCTATACTTCCAGTGTGTGCAATAATTAATGTTATAGATTAAAAGGTGGTAATTAGGATTCACTCCATTGTACTGTTGAGGAAATTAAAACCCAGACAGGTTAAATAACTTGCACAAGGTCACACAGCTCGCTGGTAAGTAGAAGGACTTTGGGACATGAAGTCAGATCTGACTCCCAAGCCCACCTTCCTTCTCTATTCTATGACAGAACAATGACTATATGTGTTTCTATATCTCAAATAGACATCATGCATTGACATGTAGATGCACACACTCATACACTACTTTTCTCGCTTCCTCTCTTTCTCTTTCCTTGGAGGGAAGGAGACTAGAATTCCTCCCCCTTTTTATTTGCCACTGTAGGTAACAACTTGAGAAAATGCTTCAGGAAAGCATTTATAAACCAGAGCAGGGCCAGATTTTCTTACAAGAAAGCATTTTACATTGTTACAGTGATAGAGTAAACAATAGTAATAATAAATGCTTTCAGTTAGATGTCAACTCGGATAAAATGTTTGGCTTGTCTGGAAATAGCTATCTTTTCCCACCAGTTACATCCTTGTATTGTGTTCTATTGCTATCAAATGAGAGCAAAGAGGGAAGAATAGGAGGGGGAATAAGGAGGGGGAGGGAGGGAGAGAAAAGCAGGGAAGGAGGGAGGGAGAATGAGAATGAACCGACTCCTTAACACCCAGCTACTTGAGTAGCTAAAACTAGGTTAAATATAAAGCTTCTTGTTTCAATTGACAAAGAGGTCACTGGGCCATTAGGTAACTGGTTCAAATATCAAATATTCTCGCTTCGCATCTAAAATATCCTTGTCACCCCCAAGGTGCTGCTCTACAGCAGTCTCAGAGGTGGCCCTCAATGGCTAAGGTATTCACACCAGGTAAATATCAAGGGAGAATTTTCAGCTACTAAAGATTGAGGGGCAGAGGTCTGAGGTGTTAGAGTTAGGGGGTAACTTCCCTCAGCAGAGCTCTCCCAATCTAGCAAGGGAGACTTGGAGATTGGAATGATCCTCATTAACGCACCCTCTGATTATTCCATTTGTTCTTTCTACCCTTTTCCCTGTGGGATTTATAATCTGCTCCTAATTTTCTCCCTAGAATAAGAATATATAATTTAGGGGTCCTCAAATTATGGCCCAAAGGCCACATGCAGCCCGCCGAGGAAATTTTTCCTGCCAGCCGGGTGTTTTTGCTGCTGATGCCTGTCCCGCTTAGCAGCCGACACATCCCTGGCCCACAGTGCACATGTGTGGAATGTGCGCTGCACTCTCCAACGGCCCTCCAACGGTTTGAGGGACAGTAAACTGGCCCCCTGTTTAAAAAGTTTGAGGACCCCTGATATAAATTCACACTCTAACTTGTCTTTCTACCAGTGCAGCACCACAAGGACTGGATTTCATTCTAGAAACTTGTCTTGTTACATATGTCTAGTTTCATGACCCAGCAGATTGTTCGAGACTATCTTTACTCTGAGATCCTCTCCCCCAAAGACACATGAAGCTAGAGAACCTCATAGTAATGCTAACAACAATAAAAAGGAGAAAAACACTAAAGGGAGGTAGAAACAGGAACTTTTCAAGACTGTAATAATTCAAGCTAAAGCACACGTATGAAATAGCTACCGTCAATATCTGATAGACAAACCCTGTTGGAAGGGAAACTACATGTTTTTCACCAAAGGCTTCAGTTTTAAGAGTCTCAAGATCAAAAATGCTTTCTAGATTTGGCAGGGTCTTATCACCATAAACAAGTGAGAGTCCAGCCATAACTTAGCAGCCTATACAACAGCTACTCCAGGCAAAGACGAATTTTTGTTTTGAAGTCTTACTTAAAACAGGGGGGACAGGATAAGGGAAATAATGGCTTTTAAAGTCAGAGCGAGCCAACTGGAAGGGGGTCTTATCCTCTTGGTGTTTATTTCTTGGACCAAATCTTGAACCTTTCTTCAAAGCCCCCTGTTGAGATCAGGGACAAACAAGATGAAAGGGAGAAAGCAGAGGAAGAGGAACAAAAGAACTTAAACCTCAGGATTCTTAGCCCTCAGAGAAAACACAAACAGGATGAGTCTGTATGTTTGACTTCCTGCCACTGGATGTTGGGGGTAGCGTTAAGGAGGATAAGTACAACAGAGACCTGGTCGCTCTGAGCAAGCAAAATGAAGTCTACTCTGCAGCTCACATCATGGGCTTAGAGCCACAATGGAGGCCCTGTGGAGGCCCATTTCTCTGTCTGGCAGCAGGGCTTCTCTATCTCAGATCTTTGACATGATGCACCCGTCACTCTGTTGTGAGGGAGTGAGGGAAACAGTGAAGGGGAATTGGTTACATAGCCTCTCCTATCCTAGCCCACACCACCCAAACAAAGCCCTAATGGTACATGTAGAATGGCACTTCTACGTTCCATCTCCTGAACCATTATCAGGTCTGCCCAAGCTTATGAGCAAATCTCATAACTACAATTTTTTTTAAGAGAAATTAAAAGTCTACATGTCAGATAACAGCTGCCTTACTCATTTTGATTCATACGACAAGAAAAGTCATTCAGAATATAAATGCATGCGATTGACATGAGAAACATATGTGCTCATAAGGGTCCCACTGTGTGCTGTACCAAAAGACTTTTCTTGACATCTTGTCTCTTGGGTCAACCATCTCAATTTTATACAAATACCTCAGCCTCCTCTTAATGCTCTTTTGGAAAACAGACTTGTTTGAAAATCTGCTGAAAGCTGTAGACCTTGTCCTGGAAACACACACACACACACACACACACACACACACACACTTCAGGACATTCATAGATCTATTAGAACCCATACATAGAACCTCCTCAGGGGTCCATGGACCCAAAACCTCTGGTCTAGAATGAAAAAAATAGTTAACATTTATTGAGTAGCCACTACATGCCAGGCACTATTCTAAGTGTTAAATAGATTTTCCCAATTTATCATAACAACCCCTTGGGGGAAGTATTACTGTTCTCTATTTCACTGTTCCTTGTTCCAGGTCAAACAGCCAGTAAATGACAAAGCCAAAGTTCAAACTCTGGCTTTGGAGCCTCTCCTCTTAGCCACTAAGTCACAGCTGTGAAATGAAACAACTGAAAGTAATTTAAAATTTTTTATATGGTCACACACAGTATGATAATAGCATCTTTCTTTTTCTGGGGGGGGGGCGTGAGTTGGTAGGGGGATGTGAATAATTTGCCTCTCCAGAGATGTGAGAAAGTAGAGATGATGTGGCACTTTTAGTTGGAGGGGAGATGCTTGGTCAACTAGCTCATGCCCACTGCTAACTTGTATTAATAGCACAACACAAAACAAAAATTAGTCAGGCCCTCTACTTGGCTTTCAAAGAATAGGCCTGTGATATTGGCATTAGCCCTTAAGCTTTGAGTTCTTGATCCAGTAATTGAGATTAGTTCCAAGGTCACACACTTAAATACTTAAATAAGGGCCAAGAAAGTAAAGTAAATATGAGACACAGGCTGGTATAAGGCAGTGGGGGCGGGGACATGGCCAACCAGAGAGAGCATGTCCTATCTCCAGACATTCACATTTAACAAAAACAAACCTCATGAGGTGCCAAACAAAGGTGGGCCCACAGTCAGCCCATGGGCCATCAGTTTGTGACCTCTGAGTAGACCGTTCCCTTCCCACTCTCCAGGTATTTCCAAGTCATGAGTCAGGAATGCAGGGAATGTAGTCTGTGAGCTACATTGGACACAAACTGGCCCATGTGACAACCAATGTAGTGATTTCCATTTTGTTAGAGCCATTCTTTCATGTGCTAACCAACCAAGCACAAAACCAAGCAGAAAGGTCCAGACACCAGAGAGGAGAAAACATTAGGCAGTTAAGTGAGAGTATATATCACATACCTCATACACAGGGAGCATTCAAGGTCAGATGCGTCAAAAGATGCAAGTGGAATACTAAGAACAGGTTTGGCCCCCGGATCAGCAGGAGGATCTGTGATTTAGAAAGCAATAAGTCAGAGTTGGACCAACCTTGGTTTCATAGACAGTACTTCTGAGGCAAAAGAACCCAATTTATTTTTTAATTTGCCACTCTCACCACCTCCCAGAGAGTTGATTTAGTGGCCACCTGAGCCATTAAGAATGAGATGCCTTGAAGCAGGCTCTCAGAGGTTTCTAGCAGCTCCCAGAGAAAGAGAAGTGCAAGTCAGGGAATGTCCAGGAAGCCTGTGGACTTCATTCAAATGCAACAGGCATCTCACTCAACAGCAGAAGCAGCAGCAACTCCATGGACTGAGCCAGGCCTTGAAAGCTGAAACTGAATCCTGGCACTGCTAACCTGTCTTGGAAAGAAACTAAGCTGCAGCTACTGCTTCTCAGATGCCTACCTATGGGAACACAACTGGGAATGAGCAGGGCGAGGCCTGACCTCATTTCCCTCATCCTACATTCCTGGAATGGGGCTGAGGGTAGTGACAGGTTGCTCTGGAAGGAAATGGCATTGTCATAAGCCTGAGATGTCATTACTTGATACTATGCTTCACCTGATGCCTTGGCTTTCCATTGTAATTATTATTGAGTGCTTATAGTGTGCTAGGCCTATGCATGATCACACAGAAACCTCATAGCAACCCCTGAGGTCACACAGTGGGTAAGTGCCAGAGCTGGCACATACCCAGAGCCTGACGAACCCCCAGATGGAAGATAAGTAACTTGCATATATTAGTGAGCCCAGGTATCTTGTCCAAGCTACTTTCTCCCTGGGTAGAGGTGGTACCTTGCTTGGAGGATTTATTAGGCACCTCCGTGTCTTCTTGCGGTTCAGTTTGGCAATGTTTCCTTTTCTTTTCCTGGCATTTGCCAGTCTTGATGGAAGAAGCTTCTGGAGAGGTAGCATCCTGCTTCTCCTCCTCTCCTTCCTGGGCTTTCATGTTGTCTTGTGGCCCATCCTCCTTTTCTTTAGCTGGGTCCAGGAGGCTGCCACCATCTCCCCTGGCTGTTGCTTCCTCCTGACTAGAACAATGTGGGAGCTCTTGATTTTCCTGGATGACGAAAAGGCCAAATATCAGAATCTACTTAGGACCAATATTGTCCTCTGATAGTCCTACCCAGAGGGGACAAAGAGAAAACTATATAGCCCTGATCCCCACCCTTGATCACTTAGTGGACACACAGCTCAAATGAGGGGCAGACATAAGGCAAATTTCCCACTTCCTGTCCACACAGCATCTGCAACAAAGGCATGCCAAGCTTGGGTGAAGTTAGGGAACTTCCCTAGGCAAGGACAGAAAGGTGTGTAAGGGCAGAGGCTCCTTGGGCAGTGGTTGAAAGAATTGTAAGGGATAGCACCAGTCCCGTCCTATCCAGATCATTCCCCAGTAACCACTTTAGGGAAACCAAGGCATGTAATGAGGGTAGATCCTGCCACCCAATGCATCTTCTTACCCTCACTGCCATTCACAGCCACCTACAATCCCGAAACCCCAACTCCACAAGGACTTTTGGTAGGGCTTTGGCACAGGTCTGTTCACAGGCCTGCCAAGTCACTTCATCCTCCAGAGCTATATGTTACACTTGTCAAATGAACAAGTGTTCATTTGGAACATTGAACATTGGAACATTTGGAACAATGAACATTCCTTTTATGAGAATTTGGGTGAAAAGTCTGAAAAAGAGACAAAATCATTTGGCAAAAAAAAAAAAAATCAATAATGTCTCTAGCTTTTCAAGAATTTTTGCCCAGGAGAGGGATATTTGTAAATGGATCTACAAATAAATCCAATGACATGCAAATTTATGCAAATTTACCTGGAGAACCCCTCTATAATCTACACCCATACTCTATAGGTCAAAATGTTCATCTTGTCATTTTCCCCCTACGCCTACTGAAACAATTTGGTAGCTGGATGAAAAAGAGGAGAACACAATTGGGAGAAAACAATGAGGTAAGGAGAAAAAGGATGTGAGTTTTCTGTCTCTAACCTGGGGAGTTCAGGTTTTCTCCAGCACCATGGCAATACTACAACCTTGACTGTTCATGAGCCCAAGGCATTGTCCACACAGGAGGACACGGCTTTGCAAAGCAAAGTTTGAGTGGAAATCCAATCCCTCTTCCCCAGCTGGCTCACATTGGAAAGCCAGAGCTGCTATTTTTCTTCATTTTGGATTGAGCTGTCATTAGAAGTCACTCCAGGCACTTTGGTTCAGTATTAGCATTCTCAATCATGTAATGGTGATCTCAAACAATTATTGAAATCACTAGGAGTTCTCTGATTTCAGGAGATACTCTAAGACTGCTGTCCCCAACCCCCAGGACCAGACAGAGACAGTACCGGTCAGTGGCTTGTTAGCACAGCAGGAGGTGAGCCACACCCCATGGCTCACATCACTGCCTGAGCTCCACCTCCCCCCTCGAACCCCCCACCCCTCACAGTCTGTGGAAAATTGTTTTGCATGAAACTGGTCCCTGGTGCCAAAAATGTTGGGGACTGCTGCTCTAAGTTCCAACTTTTTAAAAAAATTCAGGCACACATGCACTTTATTCTTTCTCCAGAGTAGGCAGAGAAGCTGGGAAAATGTGAGAACCCAGGGATTACATACAGGGTAAGAACATTTGGCACAAATGGAGGGGAAATTGCTCCCCAAAGGTGCCCGGGCATTCAGTGCTAAACTGTGCACTCGAGTCTGAACCTCTGAGCCCCAGCTTTTGCTCACTTAACCTGTGCCAGAAAAGCCAGGGCCCAGAGCCCATATCTCTGTGTACTGTTCTCTTGTGTCCAAAGAAAGGCACAAATACCTCCCTTTCTCCCAAGAATTTCAACTCAACATTCTTCCCACCATCTCTTTTCTCTTAGCTGCAACAAATACGCAGTGGAAGCCTACTTATGCGTAAGACATAGTGCAGGAATATGAAATTAGGTCCACTTGGGGATCAAATGGAGTTGTCTTTGCATAAGGATCTGTTTTGGTGCTCAAAGGCCAGAAGCTTGAACAAACAAAAAGCCGGAAAGGAAGGGTTGTCAGGCCCTCTTCCCAGGCTCCACCCGAAAGCCTAGAAACCCACCCCAATTGTATGGTCTAGGGGCAGTGGGCCAATTCCTTTCTAGTTTTATCAAATCTCTCTCTCAACTAGATCTGACCAAGAACTAAAAAAATAAATGTAATAAATAAATAAATAAACTCTGGGACCACGCCTGAAATTTGCAATTGTATCTTTAAGAAGTAAGGTTCTTTCTCAGGAACCAAAGTAGGAAAGGTAGGGCTCACTCCCCATGTTTGCCCACAAAACAGCCAAATGAAGCGTCACGAGCGAGCTGGGTGAGTTGAGTTTTACCTGTGACAACTTTGGTAGATTATGGCTGGTGCCTTCAGTAGCCATTGACTCTACGTGTTCCTTTAATCTAGGGTGAGGTGCCAACAGCTTCAGGATATCGGGAGAATGTTCCTGAGAATCCCCCGGGAATGATGGTGAAAAGAAACTAAGGAGAAGCTGTGACATAAAACAGAAGACTTCACTACTTAAGTTTCTACAGGTGCTCGGGTGAAGGGGGCAGGGGCAGGAGGGGGCAGGGGGCACAGTTTGCAGGGCAAAACTCCAGGGAGGATACCTGGGACCAGTGGCCCCCGACACACCAGGGCAGGGGTCCTCATTTCAGTGTGCATCAGAATCACCTGGAGAGCTTACAGAAAATCCAGGTTCCTAACTCCCACTTCCATCTCCCCGAGGTCTGAAGTGTGGCCCAGGAATCAGGATTTTGAGAAGGCACTAAAGATGCCTTTGTTACCTAGCCAAGGTTAAGAGCCACCACTCTGGTGCTACCATTCCACAGAAATATCTGCAGTGGGATTTTAAAACTCATCTATGAGGAAAGAGACAGGGAGGTGAAGTCAGGAGAGAGACCTCAGTTGGGGAGCCTGGAGTGTCCATAACACCCCAGTGGATAGAAGTCTACAAATGTCTCCTAGATTCCTCACTGTTTCTTTTCTCTGCCTACCCATTTTGCTTCCTCCCCCCACCACCATCACCCCTGGATCTTTAATCCCTTCAGAGCTGGGAACCTGAGCACTAAAGTGTTAGGAACAGCAGAACCCAAATTTCTTCCCTCTTCTCCCAGTCTCATCTCCCCCATTCTGGCTTTCACTTTCCAGAGAATGTTAGGTTAAGTTCAAGTTCTGGGGGCAGGCAGGTTCCAATCTATTGCTGGTTTCCCTTGCCATTGGATAAGCTGGGAGGGTAGAGTGAGAAGAACCAGAAAGGACCGGGGTCAAAGATGTGTGTTCTAGTTCAGGCTTCACCATTAGGTGTCCACATTCTTGCTTCAATTTCCCCCTGTGAAAGCAGGGATTATGAAAATATATATATATGTATGTGTGTATATATATGTGTGTATGTGTGTATATATATATATATATATATATATATAGAGAGAGAGAGAGAGAGAGAGAGAGAGAGTGTAACATGTAATACAAGGAGGGCAGGTCACTTGGCTTCTAAAACATGCTCAAGTGTTTACCACCTAGCAGTGCCTGCAGTGTCTGAAGACCCACTACAGGATGCTCTACCCCCTGGTTCAGGGTACATAGTCAGGGTATTCAGTGATCAGTGGAATTTGACAGAACACCAAACTCTAGTTTGATTTATCCTCTGGCTGGTCCCCAGAAGTTTCTTTCATGATGTTCCTTCAGATGCCAGCACTCGCCATGTAGCCAAATCCTGTTCAGCCTTCAAAGACCCGCTCAGGGCTGCCTTCCCTTACTACTCCAGTCTCCCTGCTCTCTCCTGCCCTTTCATGTTCTCTACTGCACCACAATATAGCATCTTAAATGATACCATCTTATGCTATCCTGGAATTGCACCACAGGTGTAAGTCTTTCTCTCCAGCCAGAAGGCTGGCTTCTGGAGGGCACATAACAGATGCCCAGTAAACACTCATCGCACTGGATGGAATTCAATTAAGACATTTATCCATTCCAGGACCCAGGGACAGGCCCAGCATTCAGGCCCAAAGTCCTCATACAGATCCTTCCAGCTCTAGGAAATCCACTTCCTATGTACGAGTTGGCAAAGAAAGGAGTGAGATGGGGAGGTGCTCACAGTGCCCCAGGCCATCATTGCCAGCTGTCAGAGGTCCCTCCTCCATAGGAGCCACAGCTGGCCCTCAGAAGCCCTGCTGAGTGGCTCAACAGGACAACCTACTTCTGAGGCAGCCTTCTGGAATTTCCCCCCCAAAAAAGCATGATGCTCTTCAGTGGCAGCCATACAGCACCCCAAGGTACAAGGATGAAAGGGCAGAGGGCGATAGGAGGGAGAAGGAGGCTTAGGGGAGAAATCAAAGGAAATAAAGCAGAAATAACAGCAGCACTTCCCTTCTTCGCTGTGCTACCTAAGATCTCTCTCTAGGCCTTCTCAATGGCTTTGGAAAACAAAAGTTGGGGTCAACTCTCAGTGAGAATAATCATTACACATGATTGAAAGTCAATTTCACTTCAGTGTCAGCCTCAGAAAGGCCCAAATAGGTCAAGAGGGGAAAAAAAAAAAAGAATCTGAGGTAAAAACTAACATTTTTTCAAAACTGTTGGCCTGTGAGTTCTAAGGCAGCTTATTAATGCCAAGTGAACTTGGACCATCTCTGTCAAATCTTTAGCCCTGAAACTGGAATGATCAGTAAATAAGCACAACTAAGGTTTCTCAGTGTTCTTAAATGGTTGCCAAGACCTCATCACACTCAATGGAAATTAGCCTCTAAATTTTCGTGCTAGCTTCAGAACTCCATGGCGCTCATCATGAGCATATGCTCACTTGTATTGCCCGGCATTCATATTAACAAATTCAAGATTGTAACCTCCTTGAAGACTGAGACTGTGGCTTATGCCTCTTTGGGTCTCCCGAGCTTCGCAAAATGTCTTGCTTCATCACGTTAGGCAGTTGTGGAAATGACAATAGCTGATCTATAAAAACAGCCTGGAAAGAGAGGTCAACCCAACTAATGATACCAGAACTTCTGATGCCAACTGGGAAATGGACAAACAGGAGTAAAGAAAGCATTCATCCTTGGGCCAGAGACCTGCCTCTGTTGGCCAGCCAGCCTTTGCAGGCTCTTTCCTTGAAGTCAAAGTTTTTCTAACTGCCTTAGTCCATCCCAGAACTAGATAATTCCATTGCTACTTTTGACCCAGCCCCACCAGTGAGTGCTGAGACTCTGGAGATGGTCTTGTGGGACAACAGGATGGTGGAGCAGCTAAGACCAGACTTCGGAAGAAGATAGAATTGAGTTTCAGTACTTTCCCACGAATCGCTAGCTGTGTGACCTCAGGAAAGTCATCTATCTCATCTGTACATGGGGATAGATAACCCTACCTACCCTCTTAGGGATGTTGGAGGGTTTAAATTATATCTTCCATACAAAGTGCCTAGCACAGTGCCTGGCGCAGAGGAAATACTCAACAAATGTTAGCTATTCTTCCTCTTATTATTACTATTACTCACACCACGGACTACACTGAAGATTTGAGAAAGGATCTGCAGTTTGGAGCAATTCTCCCTGACCCATGTTCCTCTTAAACACACCTTGTCCACATACCCAAACCAGTTCAAAGCAACTTCTCAGAAAGGAAATCCTACGTGAAAGACAGAAAATCCAGAGCCCAGTTTCCCCTAGTTCATTGATTTTGCTAAAGCTTCCTTTCTAGAGCCTTCAGAAACCAATCCTGTCTCTTGCTCTAGCATCCACTGCTCTGGTAAACCACACTGGGACAAAAGCCTTGGGGCCTGATGGTAAATAGAGACTGGGACACAAAAAGAGCAGAGATGACCACCGACTGTGAGCATCCAACTTCCAGGCCAATGAGCCAGACACCAGGAGAGTAAATTGCAAAACAATAAACAACAAAGCCCACGAATTGAGGATGCATGAGCCTTCACTCACGTTCTCAGTATTTCATGCAAATTTTTTGGTAACAATCACATACTCCTGGGACCCAAAAGTTGGAATGATTGTTTGGATTATATTATAATGGTCTCTGACTTGCATCTGTGAGAGAGTGTGTTTTATTTCTAGCAAAGGAGTTCTGTGTATGGCAGGGGAGTTGGGACCACCAAAATCCTTTCCCAGGAGCTGGCTGCCCTGTGCGGCTAGAGAAACTGTGATTCAGCCAAAGAAAAGTTATACAGCTGCAGGCAGCCCCACACCCCAGATCAACAGCTAGAATCTGATCCAGGGGCCTCAATCCCCATGTTAATTTGCTTGGTTTTTATCCCACCGACAATTCAGACCCTGAATTAAGGAAGCAAGAACATTCCTCATAGGCTCCTACAAAAATGTGGGAACTGCCCAATCTGATGGTACACACCAGGAGGATGGTGTTGGTGAGCAATCACTTAGCACTTGTGTCTACCTGTCATCCCCTTAACCCAGGGAAGCACCCACTCAGGACCCCAAATGCCAGGGAGGGGCAGCACCCTCACTCCCCTCCCTAGAGAAGACAGAGGGGTGAGGGTCCATTAAGCAGATGGACCTGATGTCATTTCAACTCACCCTCTGGGCTTCAGATCTTGCTCTCTTGTTCTTTCCATCGAGGGACACACAATAGAGAAACTCTCTTAGGGCTTCCTCCACCTTGCCTAGGGTGGCTAACGCTTGGGCTTTTCTAAAGTGTGCCTGGAAGAAAACAGTACATTCAGCACCATTTGATTCACCTTATTAACACTGCTACTATTAATAACAATCATTAAATACTGACTGAGCACTCACTATTGTGTGAAATGTTTTAAAAGGACTCTCTTATCTACAGCCGGAAAATGTGGGCAGCTGTTCTGAATCCCCAATAAAAGTAACGTGCCCAAAGTAACACAGCTGGTAAATTGTGGAATCAGGGTGTGAACCTGGGACTGACTGATACCAAAGCCCATATTCTTAACCACTGTGCCATGCTACCTTGTCTCTGCCCCACTGTTGTATAGAGGTACCACCAAATTTAGCAAAAGCCCCAATTTGACCACATACTAACTAACTAGCTTTCAGGGCCTGCCCAGATATGCCTTCCTTTGAATTAGTGTGTCAAACAGAGACCTAGTGTGGCTTGAGTGAACACCTAAACTTACTAATCATTTTTCAGAAGGAGCCAAGAGAAGGGAAATGATCTCTCCAAGACCTCAAAGGTAGCTAGTGACAAAGCTAGAATTAGAACTGTGGTCCTAGGACTCCCAAAATGCTTTTCCCCACAAAGTGGGCTGCCCTTCCAAGGGCTAAGCAGGGACTGAGCAAATATTTTCACTCCTAGGGGCTCAGCTCACTTCGGCTCCCTCACCATGTCTTTAAAAAGTATAAAGAAGTTCATGGTTCCTCAGGCTCCAAGGCTAACTGCCTTGGGAGAGACACAGTAGGGGAAGAGGAAAGAAGATAAAAAGAAAAAGGGAGAGGGCTGCCTTTTGTGGGCCTTGGGATAGGTGGCCATTTGCAACTTGGCTTGAAGGGCATTTCACTTGAGTCACCCAGGCCATCCCTTAGTAGCCTGCTCCTCACTCCCTTGCCTCCATGGCTGACCCTAAGTCTAACTTAGTGAATGAAATGATCCAGGTCACAGCTGCCAGGCACTCCCCTGCCCCCCCTGCTTACAGGCCTCTGCAGGCCCTGAAGCCCTCAGGCTGTGGCCTGGCTATAGGGGCTGGCAGAGCTGCCTTCTTGGGCAGTGCCCCTGCTCCAAACCTCTTGGGGACCTCTCCCTATGCCCCCACCTCCTTCTGGAGCCTAATCTTTGCTGATATGGATGCTGATGTCCTCCCTTATTGCTCCTCCCAGCAGCGTTTACCAGGGGGCTCCTGGAGAAAGGCTTGCATAACACTGCGGGGCAGCCACAGGGGTAAGTGTAGGGAGACTGGAGAGACCTCTGGGATCCCACTAATCATTCCAAGCAGCAGCAGCCCATCTGTTCCCCCTGCTCAGGGCAGCCAGCTCACCCCACTGAGAGCTGTGCCACCAATAGGGTATGCTGAGTACCACTGAGCCCTGGCTGCATGGCTGGAATAGGGCTGCCAGGTGAACTCCCTCCTTTGGAGCATTTCACATAGAAATGGTGGGAAATATTCAAATCAGAGTATGAGGCGGTTTTGAATTATATGCATCAGTTCAAGTCTTCTCTCCACCTCCAAGACAAATTCTCTTATCACTGCCCCCACCACTGTGGGGAAGCGACACTCCTGTTTAATAATTCCACCAACTCTTCTTTCACGGAGAAGTGACTTTTCCCATTTCATCTAAAATGCTCAATTGCTTCTCAGCCCTGCTTCCTACAATGCTGTCATGGCCGTAGGCCCTAGGCTTAGGGTGGCAGTGGAAAAGAGTTGCAAGAGAAGTCCTCTTACCCCCAGGCAGCTCTCTGACTCATACTGCCATGAGACCTAAAAGGCACCCACTGAAGGTCCCTTGGGTTAAGACATAAGCATTAAATTCTAAATCTGTTCCTTGGGAAAGTGAACATACTAATCCATCATCAATCTTGAAAACCTCATGAAAGAATATTTATGAGTTCACCTGACATCAATGGCAGAGTATATTGTGCTTTACCTGAAGTTCCCAGTTCCTAAAAAATTCTTATAATCCAATATTTTTATAAGCTTGACATAAAAAGTCATTAGGTGACAAAATCTGACCTAATGATGTAAAGTGTTTTAAAATATTTGTCCCACTCAGTGTGAATTTTCATGTCATTTGCTGCTGAAACAGTGTGTTTGATTATGGGGGACTGTCCAGAGCTCACTTGGGGATATTATTTAATATATGGTCTTTCCAAAATCTAAAAAATTATGGATTCTGAACACATCAAGTCCCATGAGATTCAAATAAGGGATCATGGACCTGAACTTGGATAAATTGATTTTCCGAGAAGGCATCCTTGGGTTGTATAGAGAGAGGGCTACACCAAGACCCACAAACTTTATAACTTGCAGAATGTCCTCTTGGCCATGTTCACCTTTGATCCTCACTGCATCCCTGTGAGGCAATCAGGGCCGTTAGCAATAGCTTCATTTTGCAAACAAGGATACTTGGGCTTCAGAGAGTGAAGACACTTCCCCATGATCACTTAGGTTTCAAGTATTAGAGCACAGGCTTCAATTTAGTCTTCTAAACAAAATATTGGCATGTGGCTAAGGGCCAGTCCTGAGGCCAGGCAGTGATGCAGAAAGTGCTACTTTGCATCCTGGCATCCCGAGAGATGCCTAGGCTGTCTTTCTTTCCACCCCCCCCCCCGCCATGTAACCTCAATGCTTGGGGATACCGGCTGGGCAACTGACTATATTAAGAACTTGAAATTGCACAACCATTGTGCAAGTGCGAGGATCTCTTCAAAGAAAGCTGGCTAAGCACCCAAGGAGCATGGCTGTCAGTAGAAGTTCAGGAAGGTCAGGCCAGCAATACTTCTCCCACCCTCCTCTTTCCAATGTTCCTGGAAAATGTCGATGATGATGATTATGATAGAAAACATATATAATGCTATGTACCAGGCACTGCTGTAAGCACCTTACACATATTAGGTCATGTAATCCTGACAACAACTCTATTTTAGTGGGTGCTTTGAATATCCCCATTTTACAGATGAGGAGGTGAGGCTCTGTGTGTGTGGTTAAGTGATTTGCCCAAGGCCACACAGCTAGTAAAAGTAGCAGAGCTGAGAAATAAACTCAGGCAGTCTAGCTCCCAAGTCCATATTCTAGAGTCACAAAGCCCAGGCTACTCTGCAGGTTGTCAGTTGAAGATTGAATTGGGGAACAATCCAGTTCCCTTGCAGACCTGAGTCACCCCTTCCCAAGGGCTCCCCAGCTCCTTTGCAAAGCCTTCTTCCTGCTCTGCTTGAGCTCTAGAGCCCCTACTCCCAGGGAGGCAGCCCTTCCTGCCAATTCCTGTATACAGTCCAGCCCCTTCCCATCTCTCCCATCCCACACTCACCTTAAAACCCATTGGGCGGAGCTTACATGCTATTTCTGCATCATGTAGTGCGTCCTCATGAGATTCCAAGGTGAAATAAATTTGAGACCGGTTACTATAAAGTAAGTGGTCATTCGGAGCTGCCAAAATGAGAGGGGGAAAAAAACCTTATTAATGGCCCCTGGTACAAGCACATGACAAGTCCTGTATGAGGATGGATCTCGAGCAAATGACAAGTTATACAGGACTTTTCTACTGGGGATCTAAAGGGTTAGGTTCCATTTCCAGTCCTCGTGCTGCCCTGCCTTCCATACCTCCAGCCACTCTGAGTCTGAGCTTCTCCAACAAAGAAGTAATATGACTCTCACAAGCAGTTCATTAAAGGCCCTGTGGTGTCAGCGGCGAATTTGGGACTTTGACATAGAGGAATCCCCAGCACCCTGCTACATGGCTACATGTGGCTCGTGCCCGGCAGACTGGTTTTAGAGTGAGGTATCACCAACAAGGAAATAGGCCAGGGAGGAAGGAGAAGAATATGACCAGATGTGACCACTATCTAGACCACCAGGAAGACAAATCCAAGTCTAGAAGGGAATGACTGGTGACATTAGCAACATCTCTGTCTACAGAGCCCAGCACATATGAAGCGTCCCTGAAAAAAACAGAAATACATTCACAAGGTCCCATCCTCTTATTACACATGTCCAAATGTGAATGAGTCTGGACAAGGTTTCTGGGAATAAGGTGAAGCTGGCTCTCACCACTACTCTGAATCACTAGATGCCAGAGCTGTACAGGCGTTTTAGAGATCATCTAACTCAACCAACTCGTTCTTCAGATGGGGAAAATCAAGCCCAGAGAGGGCAAGGCGTCTGCTCAAGGTCACATAACTAGCTGGTCAGAGTCACTAATAACTAGTCAGACTTTGAAGCTTTGAAGCTGGAATGGGGGCAGGTTCCTTTTTCTCATGGGAGGTACAGTGCTTGGAATAATACGGAGACACTGGCCATCTTCCAGAACAAAGGTAGTCTTTGTTGGGGAGGCTCCTTTCCCCTTAGAAGGGTGAAGCTGGTCTTGACATTTTCACCCTGACTACTCTGAGGGGATTGACAAAGGTGCAAGGAAGAACCTTCTTGGAAATGAGGTGGCAGTAATAGAGGAGGGAATAGGGCTTTCCTGGCCCTTGGGGGATGGCTGAACGGAAGGGAACCTCCCTTGGAGATGTGGGCATAAGTGGCCTCCAGCTGTCTCATTCATATTGTCCTGCTCTTCCCCAAGGTCTGGGCTCCAGATTTTGCTGGCAACAGGATTTGGTGGTTTTTTACTTAAGGGTGTGCTGAGGGCTTGCTTGGGTGCCCATTACTTACTCTTAAGACATTAGCAAAGAGTTTAGTCTTTTCTCTTCTGTAGCACACTCCAGCCGGGTGGAAGCGCACAGTCTGCTTTGCCTGGGCACAGACAGGGAGTGGGTGGGGGAGCCCCCCTATCCCTCTGCTGCCAGCCTTGCCCAGTCAGCCCTCGTTCCTCCCCCTCCCCCATTACTTGTTGCAAGTTTGGGTGGAGATTCAACACGTGGAGACTCCAGCCCACCCCCTCCTCCACCCATCAGAGTCGGGCCCAGGGTACCCTTGGATCCCAGGGCCCTGTCAGCCCGGCCCTGCCGCCTCCTCCCTGGCATGCTTCGCCAGACACCGCGCCCGCCGGCCGAGCTCCTGGCAGTCTGCCGGGGCTGGGCGATACCGGCTGGCGGCTCGGCGGCCACTTCCTGGGTCCAGGCGTGGGGCGTCGGGGAGAGTGGCTCCCTGAGGGAACTAGGGTGCCCTAGTCCTGCTGGAGGTGGGGGGCCGCCCACATTGTCCTTGACACTGCAAAGCCCACCCAGCCCTCCCAGGCAGCACTGGAAAGCGGGACAGAGGCGCGCCCCATTCGTAGCCAGTGCACAGTCCCCGGGGATCCCCAAGCAGTTGCCCGGCTCAGTCTCTCGCCTGGCTGGCGGAGCTCAGGGGTTCCAGGCGAGGGCACAGGCTGCGGGCTGGCGGCGGGGGGAGCATCTATTTCAGCCGAGGATCGTGTGATAGGAAGCGGTGACAATGAGTCACAGGGCAGCGGGGCGCGAGCGCTCCCCCTCCCCCCGCACACGCTCGCGGGATGGTTTCCGAGGCGAGCGTGGCCCACTTCGGTTACCTCAGCCGTTACACAATCCCGCCCGCCCGCGCGGAGGAGGGGCCGCCCGGCCCGGGCCGCTCGCGGCCCTTATGCAACCAGTGCTCTCCTGACCTAATTCCATGCCGGACCCACCCCACAGGGAGCCGCGGCCCCGGAAGGGACAACTCCCGGCGGCGGGAGCGGCAGACGCAGGCGCCGACCGGACATCTCCTGCTGGCAAGAGCCGGGAGGACCCCGCGCGAGTGTGAGAAGGGTGCAAAGTTCCTCTCCTGGCAAGGAAGGTGCGGGCAGGTGTAAGAAGGGGCCGGGCATACAGAGGGAGAGGGAGAGACAGAGAAATAGCGACGGTGACACTGAGCAAGATAGAAACAGTGACAAAGATGCGAAGAGACGGAGAAAAAGAGACAGAAACAAGGTGACACAGAAACAGAGGCTGAGAGGCACAGAAACACAAAAGCTAACAGAAGTCGCGGGAAAAGACAAAAAGCAACAGAAATAGACACACATAACCAAAGATAGCTAAAGAGGGGAAGGCAAAGTCAGACAGGGAGCCACATAGATCTCTCTCCCTCACCGGGCCACTGTCCATCCGCCCCTCCTCTGCCCTGGTCCAAGCCCCATCTCCTGCCAGGTTCATTCTCCCGCCCCCTCGCGTCGCCCGAGCCCCAACCCCAGCCCAGGTGGCGCGGTGGGCTCACCCAGCCTGACTGCCTCGTTGTACTTGAGCAGTGCCGCCTCCACCTGGCGCTCGCGATACAGCCGGTTGCCCTCGTGCCGGAGTTGGGACGCTCGCGCCGGGCCGGGGAACAACTTGCCGAGGAGGCCGCTGAGCACCACGTTGACCCGCAGCGGCGGCGGCGGCGGCGCCTGCTGCCCAGCGCGCCGGGCCCCGCGCGCCCGCCCAGTGGCCACCATCAACGCGGAAAGCTTGACTCCGCACAGCGCACAGCGCCGGTCGGCTGCCCGCCCACGTTCTAGGCACAGTTTACAAAAGGTGTGGCCGCACGACAAGGACACGGGGTCTGAAAGAAATCCATGACACTTCCGGCACTTAAAGCCGTCCCACACTTCGGTGGCCTCGACCGCTGCCGCTCCTGTCTCCTCCACTGCCACCACGCAGCTTGCACCGCTGCCCCCGTCCGGGGGCGCTGGCGCCGACGCCTCGTCTTTCGGGACGTTCTCCGCCAGGCAGCGCACCAGCTGCTCCAGCTGCTCGGCCACCAACTGCTGCCGCTCTGAGAGCTGTCTGTACACCTCGAGGGCTTCCCGGAGGCGCCCCCCAGACGCCAAGGCGTCGGCTTGCGTGAGCAGGACTTTGCACTCCGGCGTTGAGGTCCTCGGAGACTGATCCTGCTCCGGCTCCCGCGTCGGTAGAGGTGCGGGGCCCTCTGTAGCTGTCTCCGGGTGGGGGCCCGTGTCTACACGGGCCGCTGATGCTGCCCGCTCCGCCGGCTCGGCCAGCTCTAAGTTGCTGCTGAGCTCGGCGGGCAAGCTCAGCATCTGTTCGGTCTGAACTGAATCCATAGGGACAGGGACAAGCGAGGGGAAGAGGCGTCTAGGGACCGGGGACAAGAAGCAAGGAGCAGTGGCTGGAGGAAATCGGGGCTGCCACGGCTGCCGTGCGGCCGAGCGCCGGGCCCTGCCGCGCCTCTGAGAGCTCCATGCCGGCCGCCCCGCGCCGCCTAATAACTGTCTTGTCTCAGCAAAGTGTTATATAAAACGGCACCACGTGACGCGCCGCCACGCTGCTCATTGGCCGGCGGCGGGGAAATTGTTACAAAACCAGACAGTTTTGTAACAGTGTTGCGCTTGCTTCTTTTGGCTTCGCTTTTCTTGGCTTCTTTTTGAGGTTGTTTATGTTTACACTCCGCCTTATTTCCCCCTCACAACCTAGTTCCTTTCCACAAGAAGCTTGGAAACCAACGTCTTCGTTCAGGCTTCTCCGTCTCCAAACCCCACCCCATCCCACCTCCAAACGGGCCAGCAAACAGGTTTCCTCTGCCAGCCGCTCGCTAGCGCCCCCCAGCCCTCCCAGGAGAGGCCGGTACCTCTAGGCATGTGGTCCCAGGGCTCTTCTGGGACAACGAAGGCGCTCCCTCCTGAGGGCACGCTGCTGTCTGCGAAGGCAAGAGGAGGTTTGAGCGGGGTACTCGTGAGTGCCACCCCCCGCCCCGGGCCAAGAGCCCAGGGAGCCCCGCCCGGGCTCCTTGCCTTGCCTCGGGAGCCCCCCAAAAGTGGTGAGCGCGGGTTTTCTGAGGGCGCTTGATCTTCTGTGCCAGGAGCGACTCAGAACATTGGGTCCGGTGGGCGCAGGAGTTGGGCAGCGCTCGGGGCGGGGTGGGGGGGGGACAACGAAGGACTAGAGAAGAGGATGCCCTTGCCGGCTGGCCCCTGAGGGAAGGCGCCCCGCCTGCCCCGTTCTTTACCTCTCTCTTCCCAACGCCAGAAGTAGCGCTGGGGCGGCCGGCGTGCGCCCAGCTGGAGACGCACCCGGCCGGGCGGCCACTGGCCGGATGGGCGCGGCCGCCAGAACTCGGCCTGCTAGGGTCGGTGGGTACTTTGGGGGCGTGGGAGAATGTCGGGCGGAAGGTGCGAGCCAAGAGCGCTACTCCGGAGAAAGTCCACGGATCCTAGCCGCCGGCTGAGCTGTGTGGAGGTTTGCGGCTCCTGAGCGCTGAGTTCTGACATTGGCGCGTCACAGTGGGGGAGCCGGAGTATGACCGCAGGAACCTAGGTACCTTACTCACAATGGCTAGGGGGCTTTGACGGTGGCCTGCACACATCCAGAAAGCCAGAGTGGTGGCCAACCACATGTGCTGTTTTGTCTCCCTCCCACCCCCACATTTAGGACCAGAGCACAAATGAGGGACAGACTTAGTCTTCAGACTTAGAGACCTGAAGGAATACCACACTTCCCTAGGGTCGCAGCTGCTCCAAGCAGGGAAGCAGAGTCTGGGCTTGCCCCTAGCTCAGTTGGCCTCCAGAGCAGGTGGGCACTGTCTTAAACAGAGTGCCACCCCAGGGACCTGAAAGACCTACAGTTGGCTCAGCTGTGGTCACTTCTTAACTGGGTTACCTTGGGAAGTCACTTAAACTCTAGAAGCCGTAGTCTTCGCTTCTGAACAAATGTCAGAGCTGATCTCAGTTGGTAAGAAGTCATGTTTCAGAACTGCGGATGGCAGGCTCCTCCGGGCTCTGAGTCTCTTTCGGTCATTAAACCCACCTTGAGTCAACACCAAAGTCCCAGATAGTAGGTACTGTGCAGCCAGCCCTAGAGCCTCTCTCAAGTAAGACAGGACATGGGGAGACAGTCAGAGGGGAGAAGGAAAGCATCACATAGGGGGAAAAACAGACAAAGGAAAGAAACAGAGAAATTCAGAATGTAGCCAGGAAGGCATGAGGAACACACAGGAAAAATTGGCTTGAAGCCCTGACTTTGTCATGATTTGTTATGAGACCTCAGGCAAGTCCTCCAGGACTTGGTCTCCCCTCTCATCTCCAAGATTCCTCTCCAGCCCTAACCTTGAGTGGCTTTGATCCTAAGACCAGATTTCATGACACCAACTCAATTAATTAAGTACAAATGACTAGTCCAGATGCAGTGGGTGGTGGCTTGGGGGGAGAGGGGTGAAATAGGCAGCAGTAATGGAGGGGCAGGTGTGGCTAGAAGGCTGTCCTCTTAGTAGGGGTCAGATCTGAGTTAGGTTTTGAAAATACAGAAGTTGGGGACTGGCCAAGAAGCAGAGGAGGTGGCCATGCCTTGCTGGGGAGAAGCTGGGGCTCTTGCTGACTTGTTGACAGACTGAGGAAAGCTCCTTTCACCCTTTAATTTCCCTTGCTATCAAATGGGGGTCCCCAGCGCTAATCATCTGCCTTCCTCTTCTGGCACCTGTGAGGAGGGAGAGTCTGTGGGGCAGGTAGAGATTTATATGAAAGGGCCACGAGATGGATAATGATGAAAACCTCTTAGTTCAAGAGCTATATCCCTTTGCCATATCTAAAAATATAGATGTCTGTTTCCCAAAGTTGTTTTCCAGATGCAGATCTTGGATGTGCCTTGCTCCCTGGACCACCTTGACAAGTGAATGTCTCCTGGGTTGATTTCCCTCCCTTGCTCTATTGGCAGTGGGGAGGCAAGGAGAAAGCCAGGTCTGGTGGAGGGTCAAAGTACTGTAGGCATAAAGAAGAGGTGCTTTCTCTAGGCAGCCCCTTTTGGCAGCTGTATGTGCATAAGGTTGACCATGAACTTGGTCAGGAAAGTTAATAGCTGTCAGGATGGTGCAGGACCTACAGTATAAAAGGCAGTACCACCTATTCACTGGCCAGACTCCACTGGAGTTTTACATCCTAATCAGGACTGTCTGTTGGATAACACCCAAATGGGTTTCTACAGAATGCTGGAAAACATTCTACAGGTTTTGTTTCCTTCTCTATTTAAGTTAAACAAACATTACGTGGATATACCTTTGTGAACCAACTCAGAAGTCTTCTGCTCAAAACTTCCTCCCTTTTGCTCTTACTACTTGGAGGTCCCTGGAAGGAGGGGTGGGGGAAGATTGACAATATCTTCTTTTCAGGTGCAAATATTCCCTTTGGTGTGCCTGGTTTTTCAAACCTTCCTTTATTTTGCTAGGATCACCTTTTGCCTAAGGTTAACTGGGAAGAGAGAGCAAGAGTTGAGCTGCTTCTCATTTCCAACTAACTACAGCAGTAGTTTTCCAATGAGGCTCTGAGGAATCTCTCTGGGGCCCAGAGGAGATGGCAGGCAGGTCCCAACCCTACCTAACTCCCCTCAACCAGAACAGCATTGCATTGATCTGTTTCACATAGTGAGTTTCCAGGTATGATTTTACTGAAGAAAAGCTTTCCCTTCTTTAAAATAAGAAGTCTGAAAAACACAGCAATTTTTACCCACTTTTATGTATTTGTTGAGTATCTTCTATGTACCAGAAACTTATAGGTGCTACAGATATATCAAAGCAGCACTTAGCTCCCAAGCCCTTCCTCACGTATAGTAGCACATCTTTCCCCCCACATTCTTATACTGGCTTTTCATGTAGACTAGAAGCTCCATGAGGGCAAGGACTGGTGTCTTGTGTTCTTCATCTCCTCCTCAGTGGACAGTGCTTGAATAGATCTTACTGAACATAGCAGTGGACATTCTGGCCCTGGCTGGGAATGTGCAGAGGGACAAAGGAAACTCAGATGGTATGTCATACCTTTGCCTTGAGTCATTCATAGAGGGGAGAGTGGGCATGCAGCTAATCAAGGGTCAATAGTCCTGTACTTTGAAAGGATGGATAAACAGCTCTGGGAGAGAAGAGTCCAGTCAAAGCCAGAGACTTGGGTAAGGAGTGACCAACCACACACACGCGTGCACACACACGCACACTCTATGCATGGAAGCTTGGCCTAAAAGCACTTACTTGCTCTCTACTTGAGTTTCTCATGTTATAAATTGGGGTGACCCATCAACCTGCAGTCCTTACAGGGAAAAAACAAGGCACCATGGGCATTAATGGCATTGATATGGGAAAAAAAGACTGCCGCTTGCTATACAGAGTAGCCAAAACCCCAGCACTAGAAGAAAGTTTGCATATCAGTCCTGATTTTGCATATGAGGCACTTGAACACAAGAAAAGGCAAATGACTTGCCACAGGTCACAATGGGAGTTTGTAACACAGCCAAAATTAGAAGCTAGGGCTCATGTCTCTTTGTTTATAGAGTTTTTTCCATGTGACCAGAAAGCTTCCAAAGGACACAGAACATCTCCCCCAATAAGTAAGAAATTATTTCATATTTCCCACCTACAATATTTCCATCAGTTCAACAAATATTTATTGAACATACACTGTGCGCTGGAGCTGGCATTTGTGGGGCAAAAATATAGAAGGATATGACAGAGTCCTTATCCTCCAGTAGCTAACTGAGGAAACAAGAGGCAAAGCTTTGAAAAACAACAGGCAGTATGTAAAAAGTGCCAAAATTGGGGGAACAGTATGTACAAGGGAGTGCTGACAGGGAACAGACTGCAGTGCAGTCCCATAGAGAAGGTGCTCTAAGCTAGGTTGGAGAGAAGTGAAATATCACCCCACTGCTGAACACAAGGGGACTCCTTTCACACTTGGGGCCAGGTGGCATGGGAAAAGGAGCATTCATTCCAAGTCAATTGGGCTGGTCAATGCCCAGAGATTGTATTTTTAAAGGCTACCCATGTGATTGTAATGCTTGGTTAGGTTTGGTGATGTAGAATAGATTGGAGGAATGCACCCCAATCCTTCTCTCCCTACCTCATCCTCAGTTTCCCTGGGGTGGGGACATCAATAATTCTCTGTATTTTACTGAAGGGAAAACTGAGAGTCCAGAGACTTTCAATGATGTGTTCAAGGTCACTCAGTAAATAGTGGGGACCCTGGCCTCCTGCCAACCGCTTACAAACAGAAAGATCACAAGATACCATCCCAAGGAAGATTTTGCTTCATTTCTCTGTAAGACAAGTCAGACCCGCTTGGTTAGCCAGGGAGTCTGTTGCCCAGAGTACAAAAAGGAGCAAGTCTCAAGCTGCCAGGTGTGTGGGACAGAGCCCAGGGCGAGGTTAATCGCTGGGAGTTTGGAGTTCTAACTTTGCTGTGTGACTCAGCCCAAGCCACTTCCCCTCTCACTTTAGGTCTGTTCTTCACCTATTAATAACAATGCCCAACGTCATTGTTGGGATTAGCTACCAGTGATGGAAAATGCACAGTGCAGTTAGTCCTGATGTGATTTCTGGGAACAGAAGGGATCCACAGCCATCTGCAAATTGTTATGGGTAAAATATGTGCTGGCTGCCCTGGGAGTAAGTAAGCTTCTCCCAGGAGTTGAGTGGGCTGGAGGTCTAAGGCTGGGCCCGGCCCTTGTCAGGGACGCTGACCAATGTGGAGGCTCTAGAGACCCTAGCCGAGAACAGTCTGGTCTTGGGAAGAAAAATAAAGAAAAGGTAGGTTATCTGAAGGGAAAGCAGCAAACATTCATCAAGACAAAATCATCTGAAGACTCTGGCAGGATGAAGAAATGATTAGAATCAGGGCCTGGATCTTTTCTTTTTAATTGCAGTAAAATATATGGAATATAAAATTTATCATTTTAACTACTTTTTAAGTGCATGGTTTTGTGGGATTAAGTGCCTTCACATTGTTGTGCAATCTTCATCACCATCCATCTCCAGAACTTTTTTCAGCTTGCAAAACCAAAACTTTACACCCATTCAGCACTAACTTCCCATTCCTTCTTCCCCCAAGCCCCTGACAACCACCATTCTACTTTCTGTCTCTATCAACTGGACTAGTCTATGTAGCTCAAATAATTAGATTCATACAATATTTGTCTTTTAATGACTGGCTTATTTCTCTTAGCATAGTGACCTCAAGGTTCATCCATGTTGTCCATGTTGTTGTAGCATGTGTAAGAATAATTTCCCTTGAGACGGGGTCTCACTTTCTCACCCAGGCTGTAGTGCAGTGGTGCAATCACAGATCACTGCAACCTCAAACTCCTGGGCTCAAGTAATCCTCCCACTTCAGCCTCCTGAGTAGTTGGGACTACAGTTACATGCCAACACACCCGGCTAATTTTTGGTAGAGACTGGGGTCTCGCTATGTTGCTCAGGCTGATCTTGAAGTCTTGGCCTCAAGTGATCCTCCACCTCGGCCTTCCAGAGTGCTGGGATTATAGGTGTAAGCCACTGTGCCTGGCCAATTTCCTTCCTTTTTAGGCTGAATAATATTCCATTATATGTATATATCACATTTTGTTTATCCATTCATCCGTTGATGGACACTTGGGTTGCTTTCACCTTTTGGCTATTGAGAATAGTGCTGCTGTAAA